GGAACTTTGGTGTCCTCTGTCCCTGAGGCAAGCAAGCCTCATGTTAGTTTCAAGCTGAACTGGCTGCCGGCCGCCATCTTGGCTGTCAATTAATTTGCATATCTCGCTGATTAGCCAATGGGAAGGGTAGCATTCATATGCCAATTACCATGTTTCTCTTTCATTAGTGTAGATATATATATGTATATATATATTCCTTCCCCAAGGACATATATCAGGAAAAATTACAAAAAGAAATTGAAGAGATTTTCTATGCTTTCTTTGAACAGTTTTATAGTTTCAAGTTACATTTAAGTCTTTAATCCATTTTGAGTGTATTCTTGTATATTGTTTAAAAAGGTGAAAAAGGTGATCTTGTTCCCTTCTCCTTCTTCTCTTTCTTCTTTTTCATGAGATATGTCCAATTTTCCCAACACCATTTATTGAATAGACTGTCTTTACCCCCACTTTATGTTCTTGCCACCTTTGTTAAATATTAATTGAACATATAGGTATGCATTTATTTCTGAACTCTATTTTGTTCCACATGTCTGTTTTTAGGTCAGTACCATGCTATTTTTATGACTATAGCCTTGTAGTATAGCTTGATATTAGGTAGCATGATACCTCTAACTTTGTTTTTTTCCTCCTTTATTTTGAATTTATAGGTTGTTTTGAACATATCAATTAAATCCATCTGGTTTAGTATATCTTTTAAGGGCATTGTTTCTTTGTTAATTTTCTCTCTGGAAGATTTATCCATTGATGTCAATGGAACATTAAAATCCCCAATTATGACTGTATTATTGTCAATCTCTTCCTTTATATCCATCAAGATTTACTTTATGTATTTAGGTGCTTCCATGTTGGGTGCATAGAAATTTAAAAGAGTTATATCCTCTTGTTAGATTGATACCTTTATCATGATATAATGCCATTCTTTGCCTGTATTATAGCCTTTGTTTTATAGCCTATTTTGACTGATATAAGTGTTGCTACTTGAGCTTTGTTTTTTTTTTTCAATTCTATTTGCATGAAATATCTTTGGCATTCCTTTACTTTTAGTTTATGTGTGTCTTCCATTTTGAGGCAGGTCTATTGTAGATAGCATGTATTTGGGTCTTGTTTTCTTATCCATTCAACTCCCCTGTCTTTTGATTGGAGCATTTAAGCCATTTGCATTTAAAGTGATTATTGATAGGTATGTAGGCCATTTTACTCTTTGTAACTATGTTCCTTTTTTTCCCCTTCCTTTTTTTCCTTCTTAAAGAAGACTTTTAACATGTCTTGTATAACTGGTTTGGTGGTAATGTTCTCCTTTAACATTTTCTTGTCTGGAAGCACTTTATTTCTCCTTCAATTTTAAACAATAGCCTTGCTGGGTAAAGTAGTCTTGGTTGAAGGTCCTTGCTTTTCAGCACTTTAAATATTTCATGCCAGTCCCTACTGGCCTGAAATGTTTCTGTTGAGAAATCAGGTGATGGTCTTATGGGAATTTCCTTATAGGTAAGTAACTACTTGTCTCTTGCTGCTTTTAAGATTCTCTCTTTGTCTTTAACTTTTGCCATTTTAGTTAAGATGTGTCTTGGTGAGGACCTCTTTGGATTTATCTTGTTTGGGACTCTGTATTTCCTGGACTTCTGTGTCCTTTTTTTTCACTAGGGTTGGGAAAGTTTTCAGGCATTATTTCTTCAAATAGGTTCTCAATCCCTTGCTCTAGCTCTTCTTCTGGTACCCTTATGATGCCAATGTTACATTTCATGTTGTCCAAGAGGTCTCTTAAGCTAATCTCTTTTTTTTAAAATTTTCTTTTTCTGCTCTGATTGGGTATTTTATGCTACTTTGTCTTCCAAATCATTGACTTGATCCTCTGCTTCATCTAACCTATTATTTATTCTTGTTAGTATAGTCTTCATTTTAGATATTATATTCTTTATTTCTGGCTGGATTTCTTGTTCTTTTATTTGCGGCATGTTTCTTTATCTCCTTATTTTGGCTGTTTTGTGTATTAGGTATATCTGCTATGTCTCCCAGTCTTAATAGGTTGGCCTTATGAAGCAGGTATCCTATGGGACTCAGGGGCATAAGCTCCTTGATCACCTGAGTTGGGTGCTCCAGGAATGTCCATTGTGTGGATTCTGTGAGCTCTCCTATTGCAGGTGAGTCTTGATTGCTGTTGGCCCATCTGTGCATAAGGTCAACCCTCAGCCTGACTGTGAGGATCCATTCAGACCACACTGTTTAAGCTGTTTTGTGGGTGCTGATCACACAAATTGGAATCTGCCTCAGCAGTCTGTGGTGTCTTCAGAGATCTCCCTCTGGATGTGCCATTTGTGGAGCTAATTGGATCTTACTCTGATATTGTCTGAAGCTTGCCACTGTGTGTGTTGGTTCTGTGGTCTCTTGGGAAGGTCAACTTCAGAAACTGCCTGTACCTGGTCCTGGGCAACCTGTTTCGAACTACAAAGGGATCTATAGTTTGTGGCTGTCTCTGCTGGGCCTGTGTGTGTGTGGAATGCATCAAATTACACACCAAGTCTCACTTCTACCAACACAAAGTTCAGGGGAAGGTCAGCAAAAGGCCCAAGGCACTCTAAAATCCATATCTGTTTGTGTCTGCCTGTCACTGTCTGTCAGACTCAGCCACTGAAAGATCCTCTGGATGTACTCAGGTTGCGTCAGGTAGGTTTTCAGTGAGTCACAAGGTAGGTGTGAATATTGTTTGCCTGACTGATACATATTCAAACTCAGTTCCAGTGCTGAATCTGAGGCCACCTTGAGAAAAAGTTCCAGGGTATACCAAGGCTGGCTACTATCTGCCATATGCCCACAGACCTTTGTCTTGGCATGGGGTCTCAGGGAGTTATCAGGGGGAGGGCAGCAGTGTTTATCAGGCCCAAAGAGAACAAGATTTTGCCTTGGGAAGGGTAGATTCTGTACCTGTCAGTCGCATGTGTGCGAGAAGATATGCCTCGTCCTAGAGCCACACAACTCAGTCTGTCCTGCATTTAGCCTGGCCCTCCTGGAGAGCTCAAACTTAGTGGGATGGGGCTAGTGAATCTCTTGTGGGAGGGTGGTTCAGGTCAGGCTAATACTCTGATTCTGCCCAAACCTCTATACACCCAGGTCTGGGCAGCTGATTCCTCCCTAGGGCACCCAGCTGGGAAACAGGGAGTTGGGAGGATGAGGCTATTGCATTCCCCCAGGCTGATGCCATATGGAGGGATATGCTCAACCCAAGAAAGATGGCGTCTGTGGGCAATGTGGCAGATGGACTGAGCACAGGGACACTGCCAGCTGTCCCTCAGCTCTTTGTCCAGAGCCATACAACTGAGTCTTTCCTCCCACAGCTTTAGTCTGCTCTGAGCTGCCCTCCCTCTGGTGGAGCCTAGGGTGAATGGCTATGAACTAGTTTTGTGTGCTGGGCCTTTAAGAGGGTACCTGAATTTCTAGGCAATTCTTGTCTTTCCCTGGTGAACAAAATCCCTGCTGATTTTTTAAAATGTTTTTATTGATTTTAGAGAGAGAGGAGGGAGAGAGATAGAAGATAGAAACATGGATGAGAAAGAAACATTGATCGGCTGCCTCCTGCCTATCCCCTACTGGGGATTGAGCCCACAAATCAGGCATGTGCCTTGACCAGGAATTGAACCAAGACCTCCTGGTTCTTGTGTTGATGCTCAACCACAGAGCCATACCAGCCAGGCAATCCCTGCTGATCTGATTTTCACAGCCAGATATTACGTGGGTTCCTCTTCCTGGCTCTAGTGTTCTAAGCTGGGGAGCCCCATGAGGTGGAGACCCCACATTCCTCAGAAGAGCCTTTGCAACTGAGTTATCACTCTAGAACCTCAGCCACAGCATATGGCTGCAGGGCCAGCCTGTTTTGCATCTCTGCCCTTCCTACCAGTCTCCATGTGGCTTCTTCTGTAAATCCTTGGTTATAAGACTATGCTCAGCTAGTCTTCAGTTGGTTATTCAAGTTGATTATTTTATATTTAAGTTGTGATTCCAGTTTTGTCTGGGAGGTGAGTGTAGCTTCCATCTACAAGGCTGCTATCTTGGATCTCCTGATATCAGTATTTCTGATTATGGAAAGAATTTCTGGAAGCTCTATGAATGCAGTCCTTTTAGTTTTTTTTTTATGGAGGTTTCTTTATGTAGGCATGGCTAATTAATTCACTGTCTTTTTGTGATTTTTCATCAGGCATTTTTTGTGGACAGGAAAAATATTAAACACCTTATGTATATTAGTTTCCTAGGGCTGCTGTAACAAGGTACCATAAACTAGATGGGTTAAACAACAGAAATTTATTCACTCACAGTCTGGAGTTTAAAAGTCCAAAATGAAGGTATCAATAGGGCCATGCTTTTTCTGGTTCCTGGTGGTTGTCAGCAATTCTCAGCATTCCCTGGCTCACAGCTGCAGAACATCAATCTCTGCCTCTCTTCACATGGCATTCTTTCCTGTGTGTCTGTCTTTCCACCATCATCCCTCTGTGTGCATGTTTGTTTGTATACCTCTTTTCCTCTTATTATAAATCACCAATCATATTTGATTTAGGGCCCACCTAATTCCAATATAACCTCATTTGAACTTGATTATATCTACAAAGGCCTTACTTCCAAAAAAGCCGCAAGGTACCATGAGTAGGACTTAACATATCTTGTGGGGGAATACAATTCAACCCATAATAGTGTGTGTGTTTGTGTGTGTCTCAAATATATGTAGACGTTGTAATTTTTAAAAAGTAAATATTAAGTGGCATTTTTTAATTGAAAATAGCTTTTCATTATTGTATTTTTTTCAATTAATGGACACTAAAAGAATAAATCTCTCAGGAGTCTAGGAGTCTGAGAATTGTTTTAATGATAAAAAGAGGTATGCACATCAAAAAGGTTGAGAGCCATTGGTATAGATTTTGTGTCAGGAGTAGAATAAGGTAAAACTAGCCAAGTAAGCTAAAGTAAAGTATGGAGAGCTTTTAATTACAAGATAAAGACACTTGGTTTCATTTGTTAGGCAAAGAGAATTACTAGTGATTTTTTAGCAGGTGACATGTGTGTATGTAACAGATATTGTGACTGATAAAGTAAAAATTCTGAACCAACAATCTATCCATCAATGTGGGGCTTTATAGGAAATCTAGTGGCCCGGTGCACGAAATTCGTGCATGGGGGTATGTCTCTCAGCCCGGCCTGCACCCTCTCCAATCTGAGACCCCTCGAAGGATGTCCTACTGTAGGTTTACAGGGATCAGGCCTAAACCGGCAGTTGGACATCCCTCTCACAATCCAGGACTGCTGGCTCCTAACCACTCACCTGCCTGCCTGCCTGC